GTTCTGTTTAACAGCAGAATAATGAGAGAGAGATTGTTTGAGAAATTGTTCTAACTCTTGTTGAAAGTCAAGTTTACACACAGTAAGATTATTCTGCCTCTGGAAAAGCTCAGATGATGATGTCAGGGTTTTGGAAGTTTCTGATTGGCTCTCTGCCACCATAGAACACATTGCATATGATTAAAATTATAAATGTTAATGCAATGCACCTGCTCGTCTGCAGATCTCTGAGTGATTGTGGCGTAACACACACACACTGGAGTCATTGTCCTGCAGTCATGTGTTTGTCTGATGCCACACTTCATCATCACACACGCACTCGTAGCCTGTGTGTTCTCAATGCAGCCCTTGTTCTGCGCTGTGCATCGAGCTGCATTGACACACACACACACACACACATACACACACACACACACACACACAGCGAGCCGGTCGACGCACGTTTCATCTTCGTAATTTAATTTATCAGACTACACAAGATACATGATGTAATCAATCACACAACTGCTGTTCTGATCCACTAGTGTAAATCTAACTAAGTATTGTAAATTTAACTAATTAGTCCACTGCTGTTTTGAAAAACTACTGTATATATAACTTACTAGTGTAAATATTACTAACTAGTCCACTGCTATTCTGAACAACTGGTGTAAATTTAACTAGTATAAATATAACTATTTAATCCACTGCTGTTCTAAACCACAAATGCAAATTTAACAAACTAGTGTAAATATAACTAACTGCTGTAAATATAACCAACTAGTCCACTGCTGTTCTGAACAACTAGTGTAAATCTAACTAACTAGTATAAATATAATCAACTAGTCCACTGCTGTTCTGAACAACTCGTGTAAATCTAACTAACAAGTGTAAATATAACCAACTAGTCCATTGCTGTTCTAAACAACTAGTGTAAATCTAACTAACTAGTGTAAATATAACTAATTAGTCCACTGCTGTTCTGAACAACTAGTGTAAATCTAATTAACTAGTGTAAATATATTAAACTAGTCCACTGCTGTTCTGAACAAATAGTGTAAATCTAACTAACTAGTGTAAATATAACAACTAGTCCACTGCTGTTCTGAACAACTAGTGTAAATCTAACCAACTAGTATAAATCTAACCAACTAGTCCACTGCTGTTCAGAACAACTAGTGTAAATCTAACCAACTAGTGTAAATATAACCAACTAGTCCACTGCTGTTCTGAACAACTAGTGTAAATCTAACTAACAAGTGTAAATATAGCCAACTAGTCCATTGCTGTTCTAAACAACTAGTGTAAATATAACCAACTAATCCACTGCTGTTCTGAACAACTAGTGTAAATCTAACTAACAAGTGTAAATATAACCAACTAGTCCATTGCTGTTCTAAACAACTAGTGTAAACATAACCAACTAATCCACTGCTGTTTTGAACAACTAGTGTAAATCTAACTAACTAGTGTAAATATAACCAACTAGTCCACTGCTGTTCTGAACAACTAGTGTAAATCTAACTAGCTGGTGTGAATATAACCAACTAGTCCACTGCTGTTCTGAACAACTAGTGTAAATCTAACTAACTAGTCCACTGCTGTTCTGGACAACTAGTGTAAATCTAACTAACTAGTCCACTGCTGTTCTGGACAATTAGTGTAAATATTACTAATCCACTGCTGTTAATCAATTAAACTCTTTGAAAATGAGCAGTGTGAACATTCTGCTAAACTTTCTCTTTAACTGAATATTGAGTTAGACTGACTGCAGACAAATTCTGGGTCACACACACACACACACACACACACACACACACACACACACACACACACACACACACACACAAAAAGAAGGTCACACAGTAAATGACGACAGATTCTGATTATTCTCAGCAAACATCCATGAAGCTTTGGGAAAGGAAATGATGCTCGAGTTATTTCATAGTCTTTGTGTTTGGTCTTGGCACCCGTTCTAGTGCTCTCAGTGGGTGTCTGTGGGCTTCTGCTGCCCATCAGAGCTTGTTGACATGGTGTACTTCACAACCACACACTCTTAAACACACACACACTCTCCTCCACCAGGTGTGTGAGGCTCTCAGCGCCAGAGGAACGCCACAGCTGCCAACAGAAGCTGCGTCTCTGTGGGATTCGCCGTGGCGGCTCTTCAGAGAGGGAAACCACGTCAGTGCCACTTACCGACATGCCAACACGGTTGTCAAGCGCATTTATATCCACTAGAGGAACTAGTTAAACAGCTAAAACAAGAGTGTAGAGTCAAATAAAACTGAAAACGAGAAATCTTGGAGTCATTTTAGAATATATATTATCTATTTATTGTAAATCTAACTAACTAGTCCACTGCTGTTCTTGACAACCAGTGTAAATATAACTAACAATTGTAAATATAGCTCACAAGTGTAAATATAACTAACTAGTGTAAAAGTAACTAGCTAGTCCATTGCTGTTTTGAACCACTAGTGTAAACATAACTAACTAGTTTACTGCTGTTCTGGACAACTAGTGTAAATATAACTAACTATTGTAAACATAGCAAACTAGTCCACCACTGTTCTGGACAACTAGTGTAAACAATTAACCAGTCCACTGTTGTTCTGGACAACTAGTGTAAATATAACTAACTAGTTTAAATATAGCTAACTAGTCCACTGCTGTTCTGGACAACATGTGTAAAAACAACTAGTTAGTGTTAATATAAATAACTAATCCATTGCTGTTTTGAACCACTAGTGTAAATTTAGCTAACTAGTGTATATTTAGTAAACTAGTCCATTGCTGTTGTGCACCACTATTTTAAACATAACTAACTAGTGTAAATTTAACTAACTAGTCCACTGTTGTTCTGGACAACTAGTGTAAACATAACTAACTAGTGTAAATATAGCTAACTAGTCCACTGCTGCTCTGGACAATTTGTGTAAATACAACTAGTTAGTGTAAATATAAATAACTAGTCAATTGCTGTTTTGAACCACTAGTGTAAATTTAATTAACTAGTCCACTGCTGTTCTGGACAACTAGTGTAAATTTAACTAACTAGTGTATATATAGCTAACTAGTCCACTGCTGTTTTAGACAACTTGTGTAAAAACAACTAGTCAGTGTAAATATAAATAACAAGTCCATTGCTGCTTTGAACCACTAGAGTAAATTTAACAAACTAATCCACTGCTGTTCTGGACAACTAGTGTAAATATAACTAACTAGTCTACTACTTCTGGACAACTAGTGTAAATATAACCAACTAGTGTATATATAGCTAACTAGTCCATTGCTGTTCTGAACCACTAGTGTAAACATAACTAACTAGTGTAAATATATCTAACTAGTCTAGTCCACTGCTGTTCTGGACAACTTGTGTAAAAACAACTAGTTAGTGTAAATATAAATAACAAGTTCATTGCTGCTTTGGACCACTAATGTAAATTTAACTAACTAATCCACTGCTGTTCTGGACAACTAGTGTAAATATAACTAAATAGTCCACTGATGTTCTGGACAACTAGTGTAAATATAGCTAACTAGTGTAAATAGAGCTAACTAGTCCACTGCTGTTCTGGACAACTTGTGTATAAACAACTACAACTAGTTAGTGTTAATATAAATAACAAGTCCATTGCTGTTTTGAACAACTAGTGTAAATAAAGCTAACTAGTCCACTGCTGTTCTGGACAACTAGTGTAAACATAACTAACTAGTGTAAATATAGCTAACTAATTCACTGCTGTTTTGGACAACTAGTGAATTTGGATAATCTTCTTATTTAAAAAGACTACGGAAGTCAATAGTAGCAGGTTTTCAGCATTCTTCAAAATATCTTTAGTGTTCGACAAAAGACTGAAACTCATAAAGGGAGAGTAAATAGTGAGTAAATCTTCCTTTTCGGGTGAACTGTCCCTTTAAAGATGTTCAGACACGATACAGCACATATTTTCTGCACTGTAAGAGCTCCAGTGAACGAGACCTCGCATGACTTACAGGCTCCGTCTGGAAACACGAAAGACTCCAAAACCACAAGTGAGGTGATGGAGTGTTAGTGTGGGGTTACAGCCGTGTGGTCTCTGTGCTGCGGTCCAGTTTAAAGAAAAACCCAGATCTCCGGCAGCATCAGGAATGTGCACTGGAGATCACACACTGCATGGAGGCACACAGCAGTCAGGGGACGGGGAACACGCCTGCCTACCAAAACACCGGCAGAGGAAACCACTGTACAGTTCACTGTGGAACAGGAAGGAGAAAGACTGACGTTCCCACAGTAGTCGGACATCTGATCAGATCCGGCTGACCTGTTCTCTCACACACACAAGCATGCACACAAATGTTGATAACTTGCCATCAAAGTCACTACCATGGTAGTGGTCTAACTGCCCGCAGGCCAGTGCCGTAGTGAACATCACAGTACTGCAGCACTACTGCATGTTTGGACTTTTGTAAGGTCACTTAGTTCAACCCTCTCAGCACAGAACAGTAATGATGTCACTTTGGTAGTGACGTGCTGTATGTGTGTGTACATGGCTGTGCTTGTGCACTGAACAACCGAGTCACTGGATTTACTAAACATGTTTAAGGGATCTGATTGCTCACAATTTATATGAGCTGAATTTAAACTTAACTTAATTTGTTTATTTAAATTCAGCCCATATAAACAGACACCTTAAACATGTTTAGTAAATCCAGTGAATCGTTTTTTTTATTGCACAAGTGTGTGTGTGTGTGTGTGTGTGTGTGTGTACGTGTTTTTGTGATATGTCAGGACACAAATCTGTGTAACGACTTACGCTGAAAAATGATTCATTGGATTTACTCTAATTATTTTAAGGTAATTGCTTATACTGTTTGTTTGAGCAGAACTTAAATTAAATATAATAATGTTTAACTTAATGCGTTTGTTTAAATTCAGTCAATATAAATTGTTTAAGCAATTTTCCCCTCTGTGTATATATCTGTGCGCGCGCCCGAGCCGCAGTGCCAGGGCTGACCGAGGCTGACCTCCGCTTTACCTGCCTGGTGAAGAGGATCGCGGCGTCATGGTGATGCTGATGATCGTCATCCAGAGGGTTCTGCTGGTTCTGCCACTTGCAGAAGCTCTTGAGCGTCGCGGCCGCGTTTTTGGAGATCTCGATGCCCTTCTCGTGCTCGGACAGAAGCGCCACTTTCACCACCGACAGCCGGATGGGGTTCTCGATGCTCGCGTGACCGTAGAGTTTGGACGCGATGGACGCGAGCGTCAACAGGTAGTGCTGTAAGTCCTTCCCGTATTTCTTCGTCATGGAAGCATCAGCGACCAGCAGCAGCTCCACGTGCCGCGCGCGCGACACAGAGCGTTTGCGTCGCGTCGGCGAAGCGTCAGGTTTGATAAACTTTGTCCACCATCTGCGCCCGTGCTTTTCTTTTTTGTGCTTGCGCGTTTTCCGGTCCCGCGTGCCGCAGCTGTGCCGCTCAGGCATCGCCTCGAAACTGAAGCGCTCCCGGGTGTAGAGATGAAGCGCGCGCGTCGCGTCGGCGTCCTCGACTATATGCACGTCATTCTCGTGCCCTTTCGCTCGGATAACAGGAGTGATGGTGTACCGGGAGTGATCAAGCGCGAAAAACCCTTCAAGCCCGCCACCACACAGGTTAAAAACAGCTAGAGATTGTGCGTTTGAATTGACGGTCCCGCGGTAAACGCATTCCCTGCGCGGCGGCGCGTCAGCGCTGAACTGATGATCCAGTATCGTTTCATCCCGCTCCATATCCAGCTGAAAGCGCTGCTCGTCCAGATACAGAAGATACCCGGCTTTTCCTCCCCCGTGATAAATCCGGTCCACCGCGCGCACGGTTCCGTCAGGTGCGAGCAGAGACGCGTTCGCAGGTGGACGCGCAACGGAGGCGTCCAAAACGCAACACAACAAAACCACCAGCCACATTATTGTTATCATCCCATGTATTCCAGTGAAGATCAGTCACGCGCCACTTTTGGTGAAACTTTGGAAAACATTACAATCCAGAAAGTGAGCTCTGAGATGATGTGACGCGAGGCAAACGCGGATCCAGCGCTGCCGGTGCGCATCTCATGCGTCCGTCAGTAATAAACACACGGACGCGAAGAAAGCAGCATGAGAGAGCAGCGAGAACTAAAGTGAACTTGAAGAACAAAACACAAAGTTTCCTCTTAAAAGCACCAGAGAGAGAGAGAAGAGAAAGAGGAGAGAGAGAGAAGAGAAAGAGAGAGAGTCCTGCCCCTTTGCGCTCGCTCTCCACTCCTCCTCTCATTCTTAACCATCTCTCTCACTCTCTCTCTCTCTGCAAAAATGCTTTTCTTACTCAGAGTTTTTGCCTTGTTTCTAGTCTAAATATCCAAAAACTCTTTAATCAAGAAGCATTTTCTGGACAAGGAAAACACGTTGTCTTGTTTAAGGATGTAATAAGTCAAAATGAAGTGAGTTTTTCCTTAAAACAAGCAAAATACACTGACAATGGCGTAAGAGAAATAATGTTCAGTCAACAGTAAAAGCAAGATTATTAACTCGATTGGCAGATTATGGTTGTGTTCAGGAAAAACTCACTCAGTTTGGCGGTGTTGTTTCAAGACTGTATTTTGTTCTTGTGCAGAAGATGCTTCTTGATGTAAAAAGTTTTAGATGTTTGGATTAGAAGCAAAAACTCGAGTAGGAAAAGCATTTAATGCAGTGTTCTGTACATCTCAACACCTCAGATTTATTATTTCATATATCTGCTAGTTTGCAGGTCTTGAAATTCTGTTGTTTTCTCAGAATATCCACTGAAAAACTTGCATCCACATCAAGTCAGTCTGCATGTTTATTCTACAATTGATAAGTGCCGGCAGCAGCTCTCGGCAACTCTCACATGGTCGCCCACTGAAGCTAAGCAGGGCTGCGCCTGGTCAGTACCTGGATGGGAGACCACATGGGAAAGTGAGGTTGCTGTCGGATGTGGTGTTAGTGAGGGCAGCAGGGGGCGCTCAACCTGAGGTCTGTGTGGCTCCTAATGCCCCAGTATAGTGACGGGGACTCTTTACTGCTCAGTGAATGATATCTTCCGGATGAGACGTTAAAAATCCCAGGATGTCTTTCAGGGTTTAACCCCGGCATCCTGGCCCAATTTGCCCAAATGGCTTCTGTCCATCACAGCCTCCGCATTTCATCATTGGCTTCATCCCTCTGTCTCCTCTCCACCAATCAGCTGGTGTGCGGTCTGACACAATCATGTCATCCAGGTGGAAATTTCCAGTGTCATTTAATGTAAAAGAAAACGTCTTAATCTTCCAAAAGCACACATAAAAAACTATAACATCTAAAAACTGTCATGCTGTGCTCTCTACACACAGCCAAAATGTTTTATTTCTTACACGTTTGCCTTGTGTCTAGTCCAAATATCTAAATATTGCTAAATCAAGAAGCATTTTCAAGACAGGCGAAACATACAGTCTTGTTTAAGCAATAATATGCCATAATTAAGTGAGCTTTTCCTTAAAACTATCTAAATAACCTTAAATGAAAAGGAAAAGTAGATTATTTACTTCCTCATTGGCAGATTTTGCCTGGTTTAAATGAAAAACTCCCTTAAATTTGAGTCATTATTTCTGAAAACAAGACAACACTTGTGCTTGTGCAGAAAATGCTTCTTGATTTAAGAGCTTGTGGAGATTTGGATAATAAACAAGACCACATTTTGTTTCTAACGTGCTTCTCTTCTCCTCATCTATAAGAGCATCTGCTCAATGAATGGATGTGGAGGATGCTCGCTCCTGTCATACATTTGTTTATGTGCTTTTCTGTATTTTTCCAGGGCTCAAAATGATTGCGTAACACATTTCCGATGCTATTTTTGTGTCACAGACACTTAAATCTCCACTAATATCTGGCTAATGGGTTTGCCGTGCTCATAGGGACACATCCAGAAGGGCTCGTATGAGATTTGTGTGTTCAGCGTGGAGATAAACGTGATACGGTGGAGGGAATCCGCTGCTGGGAAACCCTGTTCAATAGTGCATCCACCGCCGCAGGCAATGACACCACTGACGCAGAACACTGAGTATTGTGCACACTAATGAGGACTCCATTCTGCTGCCCTGTCACTCAAACACTGTATGACATCATCAACAACAACAACAACAACAACAACAACAATGCACGTTTCACTAGATTAAAGAGAGACAATTCTGCTAACACTTTAGTTTGACAACTATTGCTTTTGTCTTGTTTCCTGTCCAAATATCTACAAATTCTGAAATTAAAAGGCATTTATTAGACAAGCACAACATATTGTGTTGTTTTCAGAAATAATGAGTCAAAATGAAGTGGGTTTTTCAATAAAACAAGCAAAATAATCTACCATAATGATGTTTAAATTATTTAACTTACATCATTGCCAGATAATTTAGCTTGTTTTACACTTTTATAGTGTTTTAATAATAATAATTGTATTAATATTCACAAATATACATTATATTTTAATAATATAATTGATTTCTAGGGACATTTAAGGGGTAGTTCACACAAAAATGGAAATTGTCATCGCTTTTATTCCTCAGAATTCAGTCATTCATTTTCCTTCGGCTTAGTCCCTTTATTTATCTAGGGTCGCCACAGTGGAATGAACCGCCATCTATTTCAGCATATGAGTTATGCAGCAGATGCCCTTCCAGCTGCAACCCAGTATTGGGAAACACCCATACACACTTTTTAACACACACACTTATACACTACAGCCGCTTTAGTTGATCAATTCCCCTATAGCGCATGTGTTTGGACTGTGGGGGAGCATTCGGAGGAAACCCACGCCAACACGGGGAGAACATGTGAACTCAGAAACGCCAACTGACCCAGCCAGGACTCAAACCAGCAACCTTCTTGGTGTGAGGCCACAGTGCTGACCACTGAGCCACCACGTCGCCCACTATTCCTCAGAATATCATAAAAATTCAAGTTCAGAATTACTTGAGTGTAAATGATGAGGAAATTTACACTTCCGTGTGTCCTGCCCCTTTAACAGGGAACGTTCTCATAATGTTCTTTCAAGGTTGTCTCAAAGTTATGATCAAATGTTCATCCAGTAACCTTAACAGAACGTTTGCTCAAAGTTATCATGTCTTTAATGTTCTCAAAACATTAAAATAAAAATATTATTCATGAAACTTTTTAGTTATAAAATGTTACTTCTAAAGTTGCCAGAATCTTCTTATACAAGGATTTCTCAGTTATGATCAAACATTGTTCCAGCAATTAACTTGTATCTGGTCTTTAATGTTCTCATAAGAACAAAAAACATTGTTCATTAAACATTTCAGGTGTATAATGTTACTTCTAATGTTGCCAGAACGTTCTTAAAATGTTATCTCAAAGTTATGCTCAAATGTTGATCCAGTAACATTAACAGAACATTTGTTTAAAGTTATCTGGTCGTTAATGTTCTCAAAACATTAAGTTAAAAATATCATTCATGTAATGTTTTAGTTATTTAATAATACTTCTAATGTTGCCAGAATGTTCTTACAAGGTTATTTCAAAGTTTTGATCAAACATTTATCAAGCAATAACTTTAATCTGGTCTTTTATCATTTTTTGACTCTTCTAGATTATAAAGACAGCATCATATGTGTGCAGATATGAAAGAAACATGCTCAGTGAACATTCTTGTTTATCTGAGAAACCATTCTGAAGTCAGATATTCTGCTTTGAACATGTGTGTTCAGTGCTGGAGCATCTGTCTATAAGTCTCTTTAACCTGTCCATTGGTTGTTCAGCCAATTATATTCCAGCACCTGTGTTGCCTTTTTGAAAAACAAATAATTTTTTGGTAGCCTTTTATTCAGGACACGATTTAAATCAGCCTTTATTGGTGTTGTCAATCTGGCAACCTGCACTTGCACATGTTTTGAATCAGGAGTGCAATACCTAGTTCAACCACTGGGTGTCAAATTTCATACAGCACCTTTAATGTTCTCAAAACATTAGAACAAAAATGCAGTTCATGTTTCAGTAATAAAATCTTACTACTTGTCCCAGAACGTTCAGAAAACATAAAAAAATTAATGTTTCTAAAATGTTCTTACAAGGTTCCCTCAAAGTTATGTTCAAATGTTCATCAAGTAATAACTTTGATCTTGTCTTTAGGTAGGACAATAGGACAAAAATATTGTTCATTAAACATTTCAGTTATAAAATGTTAATTCTAACGTTGCCAGAACATTTTTACAAGGTTATCTCAAACTTATAATTCAATGTTTATCCTGTAATAACTTTTATCTTGTCTTTAGGTAGGACACTAGGACTAAACATTGTTCATTAAACATTTCAGTTGTATAAATGATAATTCTAATGTTGCCAGAATGTTCTTTCAACGTTATCTCAAAGTTATTATTCAATGTTTATCCAGTAACAGCTTTTTTCTGGTCTTTAATATTGCAAAAACATTTGAAAAAACACTGTTTGTCAAACATTTTAGTTATAAAATTTTACTTCTAACATTGCCAGAATGTTCTTACAAGGTTGTCTCAAAGTTAAGATCAAATGTTCATCCAGTAACATCACCAGAATGTTTGTTCAGGTCTTTAATGTTTTCAAAACATTAGGATAAATCTATAGTTCATGTTATGTTTTAGTTATGAAAAATGTTAATTCTAATGTTGCCAGAACGTTTTTGTACGGTTCTCTCAAACTTATGATTCAATGTTTATCCAGTAATAACTTTTATCTTGTCTTTAGGTAGGACATTAGGACAAAAACATTGTTTGTTAAACATTTCAGCTATAAAATGTTAGTTCTAATGTTGCCAGAACGTTATTTCAAGGTTTTTTCAAAGTTATGATTCAATATTTATCCAGTAATAACTTTTATTTGGTCTTTAATATTCTCAAAACATCAAAACAAAAATAACGTTCATGAAAAGTTTTAGTTATAAAATC